CACTGCTCTACTCACACCGCCATCCTGGCTCCGCCCCCGAGTTTATGCCTTTTTAAAAAATCCTTTTATTCTCATTCTGGTGGAGTTTTTGAAGGGAGTAAACTAGATGCCTGTATTCAATCTTCCATCATTTCCGAGAAGTTCATCTTCCCTATTTTTCAAATCCAGAGAAGTAGAGAGGAAATGAAGTAATTTTCAAGCAGAAAAGCAGAAGGGCTTTCTTAGACATCCTTTCTTTTTACGCTAACTGATGTTCAGTTTCTTGAACCACCTTAATTTAAACCTCTGTATTCCTTGACTAGGCAAACTATTTTACTTGGTATTGATTTCTCCTACTATATAACACCATTTGAAAGCAAGCAACAGAAAAGTTGAAATATTTACTAAGTACCTCCATTGGCAGTTCATGTGCTAGGTGCTGTACCTGGATTTGTAGGAAGAAACATACTTTTCATTTCAGAATCTTAGAAAAGGAAAATGAATAGGGGAAAAAAAGGAAGCCATAACTGTGATATGCTACATCTTACTACATTACCTTGTGGACTTTCTTTTTTACATTGGCAGGACTGTTAGGAATATTTTCTTTTTTTTCAGGACAGTATAAAAATCTAAGATAATATCTTACTCTTGATCATCAAGATATATTAAAAGCTCTGTTATAATTTGATTGTAATATTGAATACAGTATTTTATGTGTGTTGATTATATTCTTCATATCTAATATATTATTTATACAGAATAAATCTTTTAGTAGGGAAAGTGTTGAGTTTTTTATCTTTTAATAATATTTAGCAAAATAAGTCTTCTACAAAGGGAAGTCCTAAGTCAATAGAGAAGAAGTATCATTGGCCTAAGAGTCAAGAAACGCTTAAGAGGAACCCAGCCTGGGACAAGGGGGGATGAAAAGGACAAGAGAAATAAAGAAACTTTAACTCTTAATTCTGACTCTGTCAGGAGCGATCTGTGGTACTTACCAAGTCACTACATCTGTGAGCTGCTTACTCCTAAGCCATAAAGTGAGATTTTTTTGTTTGAATCTCTTTCAGCTATAAAATTCAAAAATTCTAATTAGTTCTGTCTTTTGGTAGACCACAGACATCAGTGCCTATCTCACAAGAGAGGTAACTTCGTTCTCATTTCCTTTTATTTCAGGTAAGATTCCTTTACTAAGCAAAGAAAAACTACCTGTGGTAGGAATTGGAAAGCATCTGTGCGGTATGGCAACAGGTATGTAAATATACTCACAATGTCTAGAGTAGTACATTAAAGTTTAGCTTAACATGGTCCCAACCATTTAAGTAATGTCTTTTGAGTAGTTTATATCACTTAAGTTTATAACTTGGTTAATCTTCATAGTAACACTGGCCATGTGTTACAGCAGATATAGAGCTTTTCTATTTATCTGCTCATTATGGCCATTTTGCAGGATAAATTAAGAGTTTTATATGTAAATACTGCATCATATGGGACCTTAAAGTTCTGTGGGTTATATTTCGACCAAAAGGAAATTAATCATGGGAAATGTATGATTAAACTCCAGAAGATTTTTTTAGAGAAGTTGCTTGGGAAGACTCTGAAATCTCTCTCATTAGAAGATGATGTGTATTAGGATTCTAGGGAAAACAAAAAAAGAATGTTAGAAAAATCTAAGATGGTTTGTCTTACCGTTTCAACCCATCAGGTGATAAAGTAGAAAGAGTGTGGGCTTTGAAATTAGATGATCGAGGATTCAGCTCTGCTATGTAACCTTGGCAAATACTTAACCTTCCTGAGTTTTGGTTATCTCATTAGTAAAGTGGGGATAGTAATATATACTTTACCAGGTTACATGTAGAGTGTTGAGCATGTTAGTGCTCAGTAGATGTTAACTATTGTTACATTTCTCCCTGGGCCCTGCTAGTTTCATTATCTACCCATATGGGGGACTTGGAGCCTCCATAAGACATTTTTCAAGTTGGCTGGAAATGGCTTTGAGTATTATGTATTTGTGATGTCCTTCATTGTTTTTAGATGACTTTTCATGCTACCTTAATTTCATTTAACCCTCATAAAAGCCTCTGAAGTAAGCCAGTTCTATCCTGGGGAGGGAAAAAGGCATACTCCCTTAGTCCTACCCATCTAACCCAAGTTTCTCAGAAGTATAATCTATATTGGCCATTTCTCTTTGTTCTACACACTTTCCTTCCTTGATTCACTCTGTCTGCCTTCTACCTGTATTACATCATCATACCTTATTGAAATCAATCTCTGCTTACCCTTCTTGAAATTGTTCTCTTGTCTTTTGTAGACACTCCTCTTTCCTGGTTCTTCCCCAACATCTATGACATTCTTTCTCTGTTTCTCTCATGGGCTCCTTCACTGTCTTTTAAATACTAACTTTGAGACCTATTTGCTACACGCAGCATGTCTTTCCCCTTAAAACACTGCAGGAGCTCCCAGTTACCTACAGCATAAAGTCAAAGCCCTTTATCATGACATCTTAGTCTTGATCTGGCCTCTGCCTTCCTCTCTTTGCCACTTCCTGCCTCCAGCTTTACTGGTTAGCAAATTCAAACTCAGTGTAGTTTTCCTATGTACTGTGCTGTGTCATTTTCTAACCTGGTCCATTCATACTTATCCTTCAGCTCAGCTGTCACCACTTTCAGGAAGCCTCCCAAATAAGGTACTCCTCCTTAGTGTTTATCATAATTATCTCTACGTATCTTTACCTTATTGCATTTTAATTATGTTTATATATATTAATTCTCCCACTATGCTGTGAATTTTTTGAACAGGGAGTGTGCTAAAACAGTGGTTGACATGTAATAGAAACTCAGTAAATGTTTGAGTGAGTAAATAATCCTGGCCACCAATTATCTGTGTTTCCTAGTCCCTTTCCAGGTATGTGGCTTTGTCCCTTAGGTTCTCCATAAAGAAGAGATTGAGATAGATTGCTGAAGCTCCTTCTGATTATGATGTATCTTCATTCTTTTAATAATTTTTTAGGTTATTCACATTTTTGAAAATCATTTACTTAAGTCTAATATAAAGAAAACAGTGACTGAATATATATTTTTTTTAGAAAATAATAACTTATGAAACAATAGATTAACTATCACTTTCTCCAAATAATAGGTTCCCAAGAATGTTTGTTGACTTAAATTCATATATTGAATTAAATTTACTAGTGAAAATCAGATCATTTAATTGTCAGTGGTGACATCTTAGGGTAATAAAATTTTTAAATACATAAGGTTTTGATTGAATAGTCATAGCATGCCAATCTAATCAGACAGACAATATGGGGTTTACAGCATACATTTGGAGTCTTTCCAATATTGTCAACATTATAGCAGTCTTCTGTGAGAAATACTCATAGTCAGCAAAAATTGATTTATTTTTTAAATGTACTATAAGGGTTTCATTTTAATATGGAGTACATCCTCTTAGTTTATGTGTATAATCATCATTGTATCCACAAGGCCATGCGCATGAAAGACATTCAGTAACTAATTGCTGAATGAATGCATAAATACTGGAAGCTACTCAGGGAGGCCTGCTTTCCACAATCTGACCCCATTCTTTAGTCTTCAGCTTGCTATTTGCTTTGAACATCTTATATTTCAGAACTGACACCTAACACCAATCTAAGCAGAAGCCTTTATTCTTTATTTCTTTCTTTGAGTTTCCTAAGCTCAAAATTTTCCTGCTATGTGAGTGTAAATAATTTTTTCTATGCAAGTCATTTCCTCAGGGTAGGAGAAATAAGAGCCAGTAAGGGTGTTTGAACTACAAGGCTATACAAATTGTAGATCTTAAGCTTCAAGCAGTTTTTTAGGAAGTAGACTTTATGCAGACTAAATCATTAGAGAAAATGAGATGCTAATGAGAAAGGAGCAAATAAAAACAAAGTTGGTAATTCATGGAAGAATTATTGCAAGTATAAAGCTAAGTAGTTTTTTGTTGCTGGGATTTTAAAATCCATACTGCTTAATAACTGTAAAAAATATTTATTTTTAAAGACGATGTGGTTTGGGGGGGCCACATAATTGTGTTCGCAGATCTTGCATTACGGTGTTTGGTTGAAACCTATGCTGCCAGTTGTGAGGAAAGGAATGAAGAACCTTTAGCCAAACGCATAAGGAATGATAAAACAGAAAAAGAAATTAACACTTTGGCCAAGGAAAGAAATGAAAAAAATGTCCCAGAGAAGTGGACCCCTGTGGCTGGCATTGTTATTGCACTCTGTTGTCACCACAGGTGTGATTGGAGACATTATGTGGGCAAAGAATATTTCAGGGTTCTAGGCCTTGGAGCAGTGGAATTCCACTATTTCCAGCGAATGAGTAGTTGGGCGACTTGTGGGATGCGAAGAACGTCTTTGGAAGCGTCAAATATTACCCAAAGGAGAAAAGATCATCAGAATGATGACAGTGAAGAGCACGATGACGGAGGATGCAAAATCACAGATACCAGCACTGAGAGTTTGTCTGGGTAAGTGACTACATTGAAATATGCAACACCAGAGCAGAAATATTTTATTATTGTCGTACTTTCTTTTTAGATGAGTAGTACCAAAAATGTATTCATGAAAATACATTTTACCATCTAATTTTAGAATAAATTAAAATACATATACTTTTATTGGGCATAAACAAAATGCATCTTGGAAGCATGAGACATAGCACCTAGTATATTTTGGGTTATTTAGCAGCTTACCAATAAAAAGAAGAGACTAGAATAATTATTTTATAAACTTAAAAATTTTAACAATATTGTGTGTGTGTTTATTTGGTTTAGGTTTCTTACTGTTGAAGAAAAGAAGAAAATAGGGCATCTTTGTAAATTGTTGATTGACCAAGGCCGAATCAAGTATTTACAGCAAAAAGGATTCAATCCTGCTTTACAATATTATACAGACCCTCTGGTGTCTTTGGAAAATGTATTGTTAACTGCTTTACCAAATCAGTCTTCATCACCAGAAACAACTACTTAATGGAAGAGTAATTTGACCAACATCTGTCTTACACACAAAAAAAATTTTATTGTATTTTTATATTCATGAAAATATAATTCAAATAGCAGATAATATGAACTTTAAAAAATGTGGCCTCATTAAACTTTTCATAATAGCTTTGTTTTTAACTTTAGAAGTCTAAACATTGGAGAATTCACCAAATTCTTAAAGTAATCCTCTTCAGCAGTGCATCTTGAATTATATTATTCATCAGTATTTATAGAGATTGATACAGTAGTCGAACAATTGACTTGGTTATCTGAAACAAACACAATACATCAACAGATAGCTAGCACATTAACTTTAAATTTGCATTAAAAAAATGCAAATTTCTATTTTGGAAATCTATTTTCCTTTGATTTTATTTAATACTTTTTACTTCTCAAGTTCAAAATAGGATGATCAGTTGTCAGTTGGTAACAAGAGTGAGTCTGAGAATTAGGCTTATTAGGGATTCTTTTGCCCATACAGATCTGGAAAGATAATTGTGATTTTTTTCTAATGCAAACAAATTCAGAGATGTTCAAATCAGTCGACGAGTTCACCTTCAGATTTCCAGAGCCATAACTATATTTATATAGTATCAGAATTGTCCATGACAAACACAAAAACTGAAGAGATGTTTTCAAGGAAAAATGCTATTTCACTTCATTTTCTTATTGGATAATTATCTAGTTAGAATTTACAGAAAGATACTTACAAACTTAATTCACAAGTTAAACTGAAATTTGCAGATAACTTCTGATAATTAGAACAGGCCACTTTTACAAGTTTAAGTACAAATATAAGTATATTCTCTCTTGTTTGGGAACATAATTTGCAATAAAGTAGAAATTAGATAATGAAAACAAAAACCTCATATTTAGACCTCCTTTAACTCTTAAGTGGTTTCTATGCACAAGCAATATTAAACCAAACATACAGTAGGAGTATTAACTCTTTTCCTCATCTTATCCTTGGTTTATTTCTGCTGTTATTTGTAAATATTGTCTTAGTTATTGGCACATTTGCCAAGACAGAGATCCAGAATTACTGATGTTATTTATCGTGATATTCTTAGGTAGCTTTTTATCCTATACGTCTGATTACATGAATTATAAATTAGAAGACTTGCCCATTTTTAGTTCCTGGCCTTTCTACTTTAATCTCACATGTTTTATGAGACTAGCTAGGTTCAAATCTCAAACCTACCACCTCTCAGCTGTATGAACTTGAACAACACCTTAATCTCTTAGTGCCTCAGTTTACCCTTCTTACAATGGGGATGATGAAGATAATAATGAAACCTACCTCACAGGGTTGTTGTGAGTATCAAACGAGGTAATACATATAAAATATTTAGAACATTTCCAAGCACAGAGTACTCAAAAAATATTAACTTTTGTTAATAATACTAATTCATGAATCTTTTTATTACCCAGCAGTCTTGTTTTTAATATTTTTTAATATGTAAACTTTTTTCTCAAGTTTTATGTCAAATGGTAATAAAGGAAGTTATTATAAGTTTTATGTCAAATATTATTAAAGTAGTTAAAGTAAGGTTATTTTTTTAAATGTTACTCATACCCCCAATCAAGAGACCATAAATGAAGATAATGTATCATTCAGTAATTAACCTGATGCTAATTTGTGTCATATAATCTGTTTTGCATCATTCAACAATATATGCCCCAAAATAAAAAATATTCTACAACAGGCATAATCTCAGTTATGTTTCACAAAACACACACACACACACACACACATATATATATATATACAGTCAAGAATTATACTGATACACTCCTGTGACCATTTAGCTTAATGATACATATCAGACAATGTTACCATGTACTTTATGGAAAAATAAGCTTGTCTTTCAACAGGACATCTAGAGGTTTTCCCCAGCTTTGTTTTATTTTCCTTAAGATACCATGAGAAAATGGCTTACTCATTATATTAACTGTACATTTTAGATGCATTAGGGTTGCTCTTAGAAATTAAACTGCACCATATTAAATATATGCTGTATCTCATAAAACATGTGAGATTGAAGTAGAAAGGCCAGGAACTAAAAATGGGCAAGGCTTCTAATTTATAATTTATGTAATCACAGATGTACAGGATAAAAAGTTACCTAAGAATATCATGATACATAACATCAGTATATTAAATATATAGCATATATTTAATATGGTGCAGTTTAATTTCTAAGAGCAATCCTAAGATACCATTGAGAAATAGCTATTTCTTATAATTCATGAATCTTTTTATTACCCAGCAGTCTTGTTTTTAATATTTTTTAATATGTAAACTTTTTTCTCAAGTTTTATGTCAAATGGTAATAAAGGAAGTTATTATAAGTTTTATGTCAAATATTATTAAAGTAGTTAAAGTAAGGTTATTTTTTTAAATGTTACTCATACCCCCAATCAAGAGACCATAAATGAAGATAATGTATCATTCAGTAATTAACCTGATGCTAATTTGTGTCATATAATCTGTTTTGCATCATTCAACAATATATGCCCCAAAATAAAAAATATTCTACAACAGGCATAATCTCAGTTATGTTTCACAAAACACACACACACACACACACACATATATATATATATACAGTCAAGAATTATACTGATACACTCCTGTGACCATTTAGCTTAATGATACATATCAGACAATGTTACCATGTACTTTATGGAAAAATAAGCTTGTCTTTCAACAGGACATCTAGAGGTTTTCCCCAGCTTTGTTTTATTTTCCTTAAGATACCATGAGAAAATGGCTTACTCATTATATTAACTGTACATTTTAGATGCATTAGGGTTGCTCTTAGAAATTAAACTGCACCATATTAAATATATGCTGTATCTCATAAAACATGTGAGATTGAAGTAGAAAGGCCAGGAACTAAAAATGGGCAAGGCTTCTAATTTATAATTTATGTAATCACAGATGTACAGGATAAAAAGTTACCTAAGAATATCATGATACATAACATCAGTATATTAAATATATAGCATATATTTAATATGGTGCAGTTTAATTTCTAAGAGCAATCCTAAGATACCATTGAGAAATAGCTATTTCTTGGCCTACAGAATTTGCAAGCCCCTTCTTGAACTTCAGATTTATGTACACAACCACCTCTTGCTTGCATGTGCCATTAGTACATCAAATTCACTATGTTAAAACTGAACAACATCTTCCACTTACCAAACCAGCTTCTGTGCTTAAATTCCCCATCTCAGCATCACCATCCATCCAGTTGCCCTAAGTTCATTCTGGACTCACTTTTTTATTCTATTCAGTTATCAATTCTGTTCTACTTGTCTTAAATTTAAATAGATATATTCTGCTATCAAAAACCGGGCCCCAAACTACTACAACTTTTTTACTTGTCTTACTCCAATCTTTCTTACTATTGTGTCTGTGACCTTGCGACACAGATCTGATGACTATTTCCTAAGCATCCTCCATTGGATGTAGGTAAAAATTATTTCCTCTAGCTGAAACACTATCATTGTTTGTTCAGATTATATGCATTATTAGTAACTATTTGAAGATGTAATTAAATTCTACCTTTTAACTCAAAAACTCACATTTTAGTGAATTATAAAACCATGATTTCTACTCTATAGTTCCATTGTTTTTATTAACATGAAATTGTGTTCTTTGTCCTCTTCCCCTAATCTTGGTGTAAGTTAAACACTCCTTAGTTTTTTAAAAAAGGCATTTAATCTCTAAATTATCAGAGACTAAGTGATTGAAATCTATATATCAAAATATCACTTTAACTATTGGTTGAAAATCTATGTTCTCTTTATATTTTTCATTCCTTGGCAAAGAATTTTTTTGCTTTTGTGGATTATAGAAAAATGAAATGGGGAAGATAGTGCTCATGAGTAAACTGACATCTATGACAAACTGATTAGAATGAGATAGTTCAGCTTTAAGAATCACATCTTCATGTGGTTGTGCTTCACCGGCGTGACCAAAAAAACTCGTTTCCTGACTTCATTAGAAAGACTTTCAATCTTTACAACTTTCATTATCTTTCTCAAAATAGTGAACAGATTTAAATTTCACTTATTTTTCCTCCCACAATATTGACCAAGAGAACAGAATTTGACAGGAAAGTTAATACGGAATGAGAAATCTATAAAGGAATTCATATGTATATGTTTACTCTACCAAATAAAATGTTTAACCTGTGCTATATGCGAATCTCATACCTGCTCTTCGTGATTCTTGTATGTACGCGTGCATAAACTGGAGGCCAAATAATTCCCGTTCCTCTTCATCTGTGCTTTCACTGGGAGGAAGTGTTACTTCCAGTTTCAGTGGGTTGTCTCTGAAGTTGACAAACCTAGCAGTTCACCAAACAACAGTGTTTTTATAGGTGCCATGGTAGTGTGTATGTATCCTCTTGGAGAGAGCTCAAATGGTAATATACTAAATTACTGTTTTTTAACTAGTTTCAATAACACACTTTGGTAAGATGTGATACATCCCAAGAATCTTTTAAATTTCTAGAAGAAAAAAATATTAGCTTTAGGCAACTTACTTCAAAGCTTGTAAAAGCAACTATTAGTCTATAGCATATATTTAATATGGTGCAATTTAATTTCTAAGAGCAATCCTAATGCATCTAAAATGTATAATTAATACAATAAAGTTTCTGCATATTTCATAGGCTTGCTTCTGTCTTTCAATGTATCTTCATTTAGTACAGTTTAGTAGTTGCTGAATCAGTGAATAAATGAATGATTTTGTTACAGAAGTAGTGGGATTGGTGCAAATTCTTAGGTCTTACACTCTCTTGGAAAGAGACACTTGAGGGACTTCTGATAGTTAACTTAGAACTAAGTTGTATTTGCTCTCTAACATAATTGCCTTATCCACTTGTTATTTAGAATGAAAATAATCACTTTTATGATTTTGGTTTTTATATCCTGGGTAAGGTTTGTTAGCAGTTATAAAGATGACATTCAGGGAAATGTCATCAACAGAGGGTACTTCTTAAAACTGATAAATCCCAACACTGCTTTAGTTTCAAAGATTCTTTATTGAATATTTTAGACCAGTATTAAATGAATCCTATTTATAAGTTAAAGAGTTTCAAATTGGAAAAGATTTTTAAGTGAATTCATTCACATGAATAAGATTTCAAATCTGAATAACAATTTCTCTATATTTGTCGGGCAGCCAGAAAGGCACAGGTCAGTCTTGTGTCTACAATTTATACCTCAGATTGGTCATTTCTTCCATGCACGTTGGAATATCTTGCAGTTTATTGTTGCTGAGAACAAGAGTACCCAGATTTTTCATATTGCTGATTGCTTCTGGCAAGCATGTTATTTCATTCCGTTGCAGCCACAGTGTATGTAGATTTTGCATTCTGAAGAATTAGAAAAGGTTTCTGCAGTTAGTTACACAGAGTATGAAAATCCTGGATCTTATTAACCTAAAAATCAAGTAGATGTCATCTTTGATAGCATCTCCTTTAACCAGCATACCTTATTGCATTAACTGCCTTCACATTACCTGATTATTAGGGAAATTCATCCGGGAGTTACCCTCAACAGCACAGGTCTCATCATACGGTAGTAGAAATGGAGTGTATTCTAGAATTCTTCACTATCCTCATAGGATTTTTTAAAGAACTTCTATAAATGTTATCTAAATAAATTAGTCTTAAGAGAAAAATAAAATTATTAATATGCCCACTAATGGCAAGGCAAGTATGCACAATAGTTAACAGCATGGACTTTGGGGCCAGGCTGCCAAGGCTTAAATCATAGGTTTCTTGCCTACTGTGATCTTGATTTAGTTAACTTCCTAAATTTAGCTAATATTCCTCTGTTAGTTTCCTTATCCACTAGTAAAATGCTCAGTAGTGCCTGGCATGCACTAAGCAATGTTACTGTAGCATATTCTTGTCAATTTGTTGGAAGTCAGATAGCCAGTTTTTTCCCCTCCAAGAACCCTTTTACTTATTTGGAGTAAATGAAAATATGATGCTACAAAGTAGCCATATTTAGAACTAAATGAATCTATTGTGATTATGCTTGGGATCCCTTTATTTTGTTTATTTTTTATCAAAGATAACTTCAACACGTCTGTTGGTAGCATAAAAGTTTTTTATTTTACCTTTCTATAGTATCAGGAAGTTGTTCAAGTCTGTTGCTTCCCAAGTCAAGCCACTCAAGGGCAGGCATGTTCAGCACAGCAGGAGGGATTGTAGTAAAGTTGTTCATACTCAGATCAAGGTGAGTAAGTTTTAACAGATGGCTGAGCTGAAGAGAAAAGCAAGATTTTTCAAAATAAATGTGCACAAAGTAAACCACTAGCACGTTCACATTGGTAATGGAGATATTTCACATCAAGGAATGTTCACATTTTCCTTGGGCTACGTTTAGTCATAGTAGTCCACAACAAATTAAAAATAAAGTTAAATAACCTCCTGATAAACTCTCACAGAATATTGAAGGGCCCCCACCAGTAAGATGGCGAACTTCCGGCTTCTCTTCGGGGTCCTCAGTTCCCGCCGGCGCCACCTGAAGCCCAATTACCTCTCGCCCCCCTCCCAATCCCAGTACCTAGCCAATAGCCACCAGTCTCATAGAAGTAACACCAAAATCACCCCATGCCCCTTCCTATATAACCCAGCACCTTTCCCTAATAAAGCGGAATTCTCCGGTAAATTGCTGCTGTGTGTCGCTCCTTTCCTTTCATTGGTGCCAAAACCCGGGAGACGGGACACCCCAACTGGGTGGGACCCGTCTTCCCCCTGACACCAGCAGCAGCTTGCCCTCATCCTCTTTTTCCGGCGCTGGCTCATCACACTCACCACTCCTCTCTGGCCTTTAGGTAAGTTTCCCCCCCGGAGTGGGCCACTCTCCCCCGAGCTATCGGAGTGCCATTGACCGTGATCGTCCGGCAAGGCCCTGATGCTCGGGGATGATGAGGGAATTCTCCCCGCCTCCGGACTTCACGGCTGCAACAGACCCTCAGGCCCCCCCCACAACAGCCACAAATCGCCGCCTCCGG